CGCGCACTCCATGGCATTCCCCTGACTGTGGCTGGGAAGGGATGGCTGGCACTGGGTTGAGAGCGAGCATTACAAAACACAAACTGCATGTCCAGCGAGATCAGTGCGCTGATTGGGCTGCGATGAAAATTTGGCATAAATGTGTTTGACGTTATCTGGAGGAAAAAGAGAGACTGGTGTTATTAGTGTTTTCTCCCAGTTTGCATGCTGCACTGGATTGAAGAGATGAACCAGTTTCTGTCTGGAAAAGCCGTCCCTGCGTCGGTCGTAACTGCTGTCATTTTGAAAAGATAAGAGATCAACATCCATTAGCATTTGGTCCTGATCGATATACAGCACTGTGCAAAAGTCAGAGACCATCCTTCATCCACATAATAAGGATATGGATTATTCCAGAAGGCCTGGGAGGGTCATCAAGGTGTTCGTGGTAAATGTGAGAGGAGCCTTTACGTTGCTCTTTGTTAGCAGTGGTTTCTGCCCTGCTGCTCTCCCATGGATACCATTTTTGCCCAGCCTCTTTCTGATGGTGGAATCATGAATGCTGCCCTTATCTGAGGTGAGCGAGGTCCTGCAGTTCCTTCATCCACACCAAGGGGTCAGCAACATGCGGCTCTTTTACTGCCCTGTTGTGGCTCCACAGCTGAATCAGATTAGTAGGTAAAAATAAAATAATCCTCCTTTACAGTAAAATAAAGCTCTGCTGATCGTTCAACACAGTTTAACAATAAATGGTCTTAAACTCTGGAGTTAATGTAGAACTGCTGATTCACCCTTTAACCCTGAAGATCAGCGCAGACTGCTGGTCACCATAGCAACACAGACAACAGTCTTGCCTAGCTAGTAGCTAACGAAACGGCAAAGAGAGAGATTTAAGACGAACATCGATAATTTGGAGATGAACGGACTTATTAGTGTTTATAATCACTCCAGCTGGTTTCCTGATACGTTTAATCTGCAACGAGAAACTTACGAACACTAAAAGGCCGCAAAGCTGAAGTCAGTTTCTCATTCGGCAGCTTCCCGTTCACACTTTCCCATTCCACCTTAAGTGGTGCAGTGGTTCCATTCTGGCGCCTCAGGCACCATTTAAGGTGGAACGGGAAGTTGAAGCTGGTGAATGAGAAGCGACTTCAGCCTCGTAAAAATCGAACATTAAGAGACTTTTAACGTTTTGGTTGTGAGCCCTGGTCTACGTACATTATCTAAGCCGCTTGTCTTTCTGGGTCGCTGGGGGTGCTGAAGTCTATCCCAGCAGTTACTAAGTGGAAGGCAGGAAACACTCTGGACAGGTCGAGAGTCCATTATGGGGCAGACACACAGACAAATATACTCACACCTAGGGGTAATTTAGTTACTTTGTCACACAGGGCCAGGTGAGTAGCTTTTTTCCTTCAATAAGTGAAAAAATCAATATAAAACTGTATCCTTGTTTTATTCGGGTTGTCTTTATGTTACATTAGATTTTGTTTGAAGGTATCAGTCCTAAAATTTTTAAATCCCAGTTTGGACTTACTGTACGTCGTAACTCATAAGCTGTGTTGAACCTGTTTGTGATTTTTAGAAACTGTATCATTGTCACCGTATGTCTAGACAAATCTCAGCCTTCTGTTGGAAGTCTCGTCGTATCTGACGTAGCTCATCAGTCCTTGACCTTCTCTTTTTTCTGAGCCTTCTCCATCCGCTTCCATTCCCTGCTCCACGTTTTCCCCTTTTTTGGCTTTCTTCACTATGAAGCTAATTCACTTCCGTCTTCTTCTTCTCTGCTATTATCACCACCAATGTTACCAGCAACATTACCGATACTGAATCCACCAAAGCTGCAGCCAAAGAAAAGCCTCCTAGGTGACTTCTCGAAACGGTTAAAGGATCATGTAGCCCCAAAAATGTCATTATTACCGCTAGGAGATATTGATCGCTGCTTCACACTGACTTTCATTCATTATTAGCCATTTTAGCTCATTCCTATAATGTTACACACTCTTATAAGGTTCTGAAGTAAAGAAAACACTTCTATATAGAACCATGAACACTTAAAGAACCCTTTTTCTATTGTTAAGGTGTGAAGCTATAGAACCATTTTGGGTGCTATATAGAACCCTTTTTCAAAAAGGCTCTGTATAGAACCATCTGTAGCACGTTCATGCACCTTTTCCATCAGTCTGAACCCTTTCATGATGCAAAGGAACCTTTAATCATGCAAAGGGTTTATTGAGTGTTCATGGTTCTATCTAGAACCATTTTCTTTACTAAAGAACCCTTGAAGCACCATCTTTTTTAGGAGTGTAGTTCAGAAATTACATTTACAGTTTTCCTTATATCCAAAAATGTAGCCCATTAGTTAAACCATGTTTGTTATTCAGAGTTTCCTTGATGTTGCTTTAGAGCTACTAGGCTAATGTGGCTAATAAGTAATAGAAGCTTACATGGACAGTTTTACTGAGTGAGTGAAACTGTGGTCTCACAATAAAAACTATTTAAATAAACAAAGAAGTATTCTTTGTGTTATGATCTATTTAAACTCAAGGCATTAATAGAGATATACAGGGTACTTTCTGTCCCAACCCCTAACCTCTTCAACTCCTTGAGACCACCGGTGGTTCCAAAACACACTTTGTCATGTTCTTCATAACTTTCATATTTCATAAGCTACATTCTAAAGGTGGGGGTCGTATGAGAGCTGTAACTGTCTTCTTTCCAGTCAAATAGATGGGTGATGTCATTGTAAACGCTTATAATAAAAGAAGCTGAACTCAGTTTTTTTTTCTACTGAAAGTCGACCCATTTTTCCACAAATCTGGGCTATAAACTATAAACAGATGGCGTCTCTTCAGTGATCTGCTCTGTAAACATTATTTTTATAAAATAATACAAAGAGCGTCTAAGATTTTTGGCTTTCAGCAGTAAATTGTAAGCATATAGAAATATGTGTGATCATAAAACACGTTCTGTTAATTTGAGGGAGCTTTTACAAAAAAAAAATAAATAAATAAAATAAAAATGTACATTTATTTCATGCAGTTACTGAATAATTTGCTTTATGATTTGGTCATGTAAATTCAGATGGAGCGACCAAAATATACCCTGGAGAATAAGAGGCTAACCCCTAAATTTACACTTCTGAAAATAATACTTTTTAAGAAACTTTTATAAATGTAAGAAATGTTTTTCAGTGTTGTTTTAAAAAGATCTGTTTGATATTTTTTAAAATAAAAAGTGAAGTTAAAAGATTTGGACATATCATAACCTCTTAAATGGCCGGCGCCCACTGGCGAGTGGGTTAACTTTTTATTAAAAAAATATACTTTTTATTTATTAAAAATGCTGTCCCACATTCTCATGTCTCATGGCCTTATTTTAGCCACGCCCCTACATTTCAGAGCAGGAAGTGAGGCTGCATCCCTGTCCCTCATGGTCACATGGTGAGCAGTTAGATCACATTATTTTGAAGTAAATGTGTCCCAAAGTCTGAAAATCAGTGTGGAACATTAAGAATCGTCATATTTTCTGCAGTTCAGCACTTTTTAGTGTTTTAGTGTAAAATATGATGATTTTCTGTGTGAACAGCTGTTTAAAGCTGTGTTTTTGACCTCAAAATGAGCTAAAATTGTCACTGAAACAGTCACTACTGACACATTTGGTAAGGTTTGGGTAGAGTTATGATTGTTTTGGTAGAGACAAAATGGAATGTTCAATCATTTGTTATATTAAAATAAACATAATTAAGGTTTAGAGTCACTCAGAGCAAAAGGATTTTAGTCTAAAGTCTAAGTCACTTTAATCTACATTTGGTGGAATAATCCATATATGCACTGGCAGTGTCAAAGACTTGATTTTAAGATTTCTAACACTGTATGACGTACTGTTATCTGTAAAACAAGTATGATGATTTAGGCCTGTAGGGTCTAGGGTATAAGCTTCCATTCCAAAATTAAAGGAGCAGAAACACTGTTCGAGCTGGGTTAGTTCCACCAGAGAAACCTTTAATGCAGGGGTGCCCAATACGTTGATCGCAACTGACCAGTCGATCTTACAGCGCCGTTGGTAGATGATTATCGGTAGCCAGTTCGTATTGCGCCATTTTAGCATTTCCGTTTTTTATAACCTACACTGACTCTCTCAGAAGACGAGTGTGAGACCTAGAACCAAGAAACCGAACACTTACCTCTTCCATGCAGAACAGGAGGAGGACTGGTTTTACAGTGTCAAACTCCAAACGCATCTGCTTGATTTGCCAAGTAGCCATCGCACTTCGAAAGCAGGGGAACGTTGAGAGTCGTGTGGTCCAGACTACGCAAACCTGGCTGACACCATTCAGCGCAAATCATCAGAATTAGGTCAGTGTGATTTTTCAGCCATTTGCCCTGTAATGCTGAGTATTAATATGGGCCACTGAAAGCTTTTAAAAACCTTTTATGAATCAGTTTTTTTTTTTGTTTTTTAAAGATAGATCACGATGACCTGTCCACTGGAAAAAGTAGATCTCAAGCCACAAAAGTATGGGCACCCCTGCTTTGATGGAATTTAAAAGCATTTGAATGGCCAGTTTATGCTGTATAAAGTTCTTGTGTAATTTCCCCAAATTACTCCAGATATCTAGGATTGAAACGTTTGGATTTACACGTCACCATTACACACTCAATAACAATAACAACACGGAGCATGGCTGTGGCTGTCACCAGGTTTTACGTTACCGTTAGGTTAATTCAAATAGGGCCATTTACGCTCAGTGATTCGATGGATTCGATGGATTCATGTTGGAAGGTAATTCACTCTGGAATAAGTTCTTGTCAGGCGTGTGAAACCTGGAAATTTAAGATTCATACTGGATAAAAATCAGCAGACCTTTTTGGTCTAGATAAATCATAGCACCTTACGTATAAATACTCCAGAATGAAGTTCACTACATTTCTTACATTTTCTGTAAGATGAAAATCGTGTAACACTCATTTTTATCTGACCTCTCTTCACGTTAACCTCTCTCAAACCTCTCTCTCTCACAGGACGTCACTGTGAAGCCGAAATAAACGAGTGTAAATCCAGACCCTGCCAGCACGGCGGATCGTGCACCGACTTTATCGGGTACTACAAGTGCTCCTGTCCCACAGGTACGACCAGTCCCTTTTCCCTCCGCAGCATCATGAAAGCTGCCCCCCACACCCACCCACCACACCGCCGCCAGCCACTCTGACTGACAGCTGCGCAAATCGCCCGCACCGCGCTGCCTGCCAGAGCTCATTAGCACCGCCGAATTGTCAATATTGTGTTATGAAATCCTCTTCCCCTTTTGTGCTGCTGCACTCCCTCCCCCCACACTGCAGTCGTCCTGGGCCCCCAGCTTCGTTTGCATTCAGCAAGGCAAAGCCCAAGGCCCACCCGAGAGATCAGCGGCTGCGCTGGCAGGGTTACAAACACGCTTCTCTGCCAGCTGCTCCCAACCGCCCAACCAGCGGAGCCCCCCTCCAGCCCCAGCTGCCTCCCCCCCCAGGCTACTCATGCGCCTCAGAGAGTGAATCATGACAGAATCATGCGAATGACTTTACTCACCAACAGCATTATCAGTTTTTACGGCGTCGGCGTCTTTGATTTCTCTAATGGTATATTCACTCTCATCTGTTCACTTCCAGAAACATACACTGCTGTTCAAAAGTTTGGAGTTTTTGAACGCTGTGTCCACTCACTGTCCACTCTATTAGACACTCCTACCTTGTCGGTCCACCTTGTAGATGTAAAGTCAGAGACGATAGCTCATCTGCTGCTGCACAGTTTGTGTTGGTCATCCTCTAGTCCTTCATCAGTGGTCACAGGACGCTGCCCACAGGACGCTGTTGGCTGGATATTTTTGGTTGGTGGACGATTCTCAGTCCAGCAGTGACACTGAGGTGTTTAAAAACTCCAGCAGCACTGCTGTGTCTGATCCACTCAGACCAGCGCAACACACACTAACACACCACCACCACGTCAGTGTTACTGCAGTGCTGAGAATGATCCACCACCCAAATAGTACCTGCTCTGTGAGGGTCCATGGGGGTCCTGACCACTGAAGAACAGGGTAAAAGGGGGGCTAACAAAGTATCAGAGAAACAGATGGACTACAGTCTGTAACTGTAGAACTATATGGTCAGTGAAGCTGATAAAGTGGACAGTAAAGGTGGAGCTCAGTTCAGAATCAAAAACCTTTTTTTTTTTCTCCACACCTGTAATTTCCTGAAAGCCATCATCAAGGAAAATGCCAGCAGCTCCATCAAAGCCTAGAAACGATGACTATATTCAGAGCACCAAAAATTAATAATGACTTCAGACAACAGTGGCGTTTTGAAAAGCTTCTCACAGACGCAGCTTTATCATAATTTCTGCTTTTCCATACATTGTCCCTGTACCATCCAGCGCTGTTCAGCGTCTATAGCGGCTGTCATATCTACAGTCACCTTCTCCCTGCCTCGCTGATAAGAAAATTCAGTTTTGAAGTGTCGATTCATTATTTATTTTTCTTCATATGTCGGTCGGCCTTAAGTAAGCCAGCCTGGACCCTGTACAGAAAGCCTTTCAGCTATTTCTAGCGAGTCCATCTGCCTGCTGCAGTTCCTTCTCAGGGTGATTGTCAGCTCGTAGCAGGTTTACAGCCCAGATCTCTGTCAGAACTGTTAGACAGCATCATTATCAGCTTCTTAATGCACAGTTTCTGCCTCAGACGCGCCTCGGTTTAGTCGAGTTCATGCCGAGTTCGTTTTATCACCCGCTGAACCGGTTTCGATTTTCAAGCCTCATTTCTTGACTGCTGTGCATCGATTGCAGCACTCTGATTGAAGGGTTATATAAATCAAAAAAGGCAATTAACAAATTGGAAGTATCTTAACCTCTCATCGTTTTGCTTATTTGCTTATTTGCTTGTTGGACCTGATAATCAATTATTCCTTCCTCATTCGGTCAGCTGTTCAACAGCCTCTGTTTCCATCGCCTTGTAGGATTCGTTGGGCCGGACTGCGAGGTGGACGTGAACGCGTGCACGCTGCTGAACGTTACCTGCCCCGCTGGGTTGGTGTGCGTGGACGCACCTGAAGACCTGCGCTATACGTGTCGCAGGCCTTGCCCCCACACCGTACAGGTGGGTCACCTGGATCTCCCACTCTGTCTCAGGGTCCCCCTAATACAGCTCATGAGTTTGGAATAAAAGTTTTTAATACCATAATATCAGTTTGGTTTTGTCAGTGCTTTTTTTAAAGTTAATTTGCAGGAATGTAGTTGAATAAATAAATAAATAAATAAATAAATACAGACCCTGCATGGGATGACCAGAGCCCCATTAGCATCTAGCTGCAGCTTTAGAGACTTACAGTGTAGAGGAAATTAGAGAAGTTGAAGTCGAATTCCACCAACTTTTCAAAAATTCTGAATATTTCAGTCCTTAAAAATATAAACGGAATCATTCAGAGTGGTTTTATGAGAAATGGTTTACTATAGAGAAACTGACAGACACAGTGGTGGTGATAGGAACCAGGGGTCGCCATGACTACAGCACAAATATAGACATTTTATTTACTATCCAGAACCACCAGTGAACCAACACGAGTCCTCTGAGTTTATATGGAATGTTGATGATGGAAAATAGTGGAAAATCTGAAATAATCAGTTTTCTTTGGGGACTATTTTGCCTCACAGCACCCTGCATGTATCCCTCCACCATGAATGGAGTTTAAGATCTCAAAACTATCATTAAACAGTGTCTCAGTCATCAGGCAGTGAATTCATAACCATTTCATATAATAATCTGTGAGGGAGCTTTTAGAGGTGGACGTCTGGTTCCTATCACCACCACTGTGAACAGTTCTGACTCGTTAAGTTTATCTAGAACAGAGTGTTCCAAACCACTCTGAACCGCTCTGAGTGACTCTGTTTACATCTTAACCATTTAATTTTGTAAAAATTTTTAAATCGGTGGAGTTCGGTTTTAAAAATTGGAAAAATTGGAAAATTTGGTTTAAAAATGAAACAAGTCATCTTCTGAATGTTTATTGAGTTCTGAAAATCTGGCAACCCGTTATGTTTCTGAAAGCAGCAGAGCAGCAAGAAAGTAAACACAGCCACGGCAGCAATCTAGAACGATGGACTTCGGGTTTCTGTCCAGTCAGAACGTGCAACAACATCTGTGCCCTTTCAGATTTTTTGATGTACATGACAAAGTCTGAGACACACTAACAGACAGCCTTTAGGGCTAACTTGTTAGCTTTAGTGCTGGGTGATACATTGTTTATACCAGTATATCAGTATTGCCTTCACAAATAGTGTTGATTTCAGTTTTAGCGATGCTGATGGAGAACTAAAACGTAGGTCTTAGTAGCTTATGAATGTAACTTGCAGGGCTCCACAGATTCAAGATGGTTTCCTTTCTGGAAATCAGGTCTCTGTCTGGGTGAAGTTTAGGAAACTCAAAAATGTCAGGAAACTTTGACTTTGCTAGTTTTCCAAATAATGTTAAATAAAATTTAAAAAGAACAAAAAAAGGATATACAAGGTTTTGTTCCGACAGCACCGATATGACATGGTAGATATGACATGATATGATTAAACCTATTAAGGGGTTCCTAATGTCATGATTAGCGTTGTGTGGAATGGCTGCTAAGGGCGAGGTTAGTGCTGGATAGTAATGTTGTGTAATATTAAAAATGTCTTAAATAAAGTCATAAGTGAAAGCAGTCAATCTTGCCTGTAACTCAGATTAGGTTTTCATTCCTGTTGACTGAAATGTACAGCCAGGTCACTGTGTTTGGGAGCGGCATGTCCATAATGTCCATATTACTTACTGCAAACAAAAAATCGGAACAGATCTCAGAGCTCCCCAGACAATCCATGTTTTTGGATCAATGCAATGCAAAGATGTAGAGCAAAAATATGGACCATCTGAGGAACCACTGATTTACCAACCATATAATATCAGAATACATATGGCTGTAAGTATAACAGAGACGTGGAAGGTAGTCTTATTGTCATACTGAGGAAAAACATGATTAAAGAAACATTATGCTAAAACACAGAGATGTTTCCAAGAAAAATAATTGAGGGAACAGGACTGTTCCTGTAATTGTGAGAGAAACACAACACTTTCAGAACAGTCCAGTCACAACAAGCTAAGTGCTCAGTCTGGTTTATAAGAGGTTCTTTTGGCATGGAGTACCGGCCCTCCAGAAGAATGGCTTCATTAGCTTTACTAATGCAAATGTCATATAAGATGCAAACATCATAAAATAACGAGAAATATCTAGAAAATACTGTGATACTTTGTTCTGTCTATTTTGTTCCATGTTGCACCGTGTTGTTCCTGGAGGAACGTAATTTCACTCCACTGTGGACACATAGATGGAATGACAATTAAAGGAGAGAGGGATCAGAGCGAGAGAGAGGGACGAGCAGCAGCCGGGAACTGAAGAGCTGAAAAGCTTGAGTAAAAAGACTGAAAGTCTAGCTGGCTGAAGCCACTGAAAAGTGGCCGGCGTACCTTTTGGTTAGGTTTTGCTTTGTGTTTATTTTGGTGTGAATTAAAGTAGATATGGCTGCTGCGACACTGAACCCTGCCTCCAGCGTCCTCCTTGAGCCCAGGGTAGCCCATGCCGTGCTACACTTCGGTTTTGGTCTCGTAGAGAGTTGGGCGGTCGCTGTGTCAGTAAAATATCTTCGAGACTGGACGCTGTATCTCGGCTCAAAGTGTGCAACATAGCGCGAAAGCCCTGGTTCTCAACGACTGAGAACCGGCGTGCAGACTGCAGGTCACATAGCGACGCAGTCTCGCCTGGCTAGTGTCTAACGAAAAGACAAAGAGAGATTTAAGACGAACATCTGGAGACGAATGGACTTATTCACATTTATAAGCAGAGCGGTTGGTTTCCAGTGAGAGACTGTCAAAACATTAGAACACAGCTAAAAAACAAAAACATTACTTGCGCTTTATGTCCTCTAAATATACGTCACATTAGAAATTTTTCGGGAGTTCTACGATGTGTCTCAGCGGATATGTTTACTGCATGTTCTTTTAAATATGTTTACTTATTCTATACTATATAATATTGTTTATTATATACTATATTATATAAAGTAATAATAAAACCCAATTGCAGCTTAATATGACTGTGAAATCTGATTACAGTGGAAAATGACTGCAGTCGCCTTAACTAACTGTGGTCATCTCAAATAATTGCGATTAGGCGATTATGTAATAATTGTGACAGGCCTAGCTAGTAAGCTAGCTAGCTGACTGACGCCCTCCAAAGCTGAGGCTTCCCCAGCGCAGGGCTGCGACTAGAGACGTCACTCCACTAAAGAGTCGGAGGGAAGAGCGCAGTGATGTATCGACATCACCTCCGTGGTAATTGGCCTTTAAAGCGGTTTAACTCATTAGCATTAACCAGCCCTGGTGTTTCATATACAAATGAAAGCCCTTACAGATTGTCTTAAAGTGCCGTCCCACATTTTGCCCTCATAGGCACATTAAAACCATCTGGTTTAAGGAGATGAAGGATCTGCATTGTAGATGCCACGTGTTGGTTTGTGTCGGTGGAAGTGATTGTTTACTGGCTATAAACTGCGTGTTGAGCTTTATAATGCTGGATAATAGCACAACCCCTGAGGGTAACTTAGTGCGTATGTGACTTTGAAGAGTGTGAGATCAGTCAGGGGACTTTTAATCATGTCAATAACCTCTGCCGATAACAATAACAATTAAAAAACATCAGCCTCACATGAATATTCAGCGTCTTTTAATGAAAACACCTGTGTTGTCTCCAAATCAAATCTGCATATATGTGCATATTTAGATGAGGCATTTTGGTATATGATCATGGGTAATTAAATATTTATAGTTTTCTGTGTTTTCGACAGCCTTGCGCCAACCGGGGACGATGTTTCCTCAGCAGCGGCGCCAGTTACAGCTGTGTGTGCGCACCTGGCTGGACGGGCCCAAACTGCTTGGTCAATATCAACGAGTGTGTGCAGCACCGGTGTCAGAACGGAGCCACTTGCGTGGATGAGGTTGGTGGGTACAGGTGAGTGGGTGTTAAAAATATATAAGCCACAAAGACACCTGCAACTGTCAACCCAAACTTAAAGATTATGCTCCAAAAATACTTTGTGTATCTGAACTAATGGGCATTGTGCCTCATGCAGGGTTCCATATGCTGTATTTAGATGAGGGGTGATAAAGTTTCAGAACATACCAATCAGCCAGTGCAGATCATACAGCCATATGCAAAAGTTTGAACACAGTCAATTTCCACATTTTGCTGAAAATAACTTAACACATCCTCTACAGAGCTCACTGTTTCTGCAAATGTTAGAGCACAGTTTCTATTTATTTGATGAGTTTTAACATATTGGATAAAATAAAAAAAAGTATGTCTTAACTTTTACACACACCATATTTTAGATTTTTTTTCCCCAAACTGTAACTGTGCATTAAAATGTGCAGAAGTGTGTTCACTGTAGAGGGTGTGTAACTTATTTACACCTAGAAAATCAACAAAGCATTGAGTTTGACCGAGCTGTTCAAACCTCTGCATTCAGCTGTACCTGGAAGCGATGGAAATATTGAAAGTAAGCTGAAAAAAAAGCCTGAAATAAGTTTTTACATATTCATGATGGAATAGAGCTGAATTATTCTCACCTTTTTAAAATAAGAATGTGATTTACTACATAAACATTGTAGAAGTTTCAAAACATATCATTCACCCTCTTGTGCCGAAGTCGCAACCCAAATGTTAAGAAGAGCCATTTTGTCCTTTCAACAAAAATCAAAGTATGTGTTAATCTGTTAGTGTAGGCTGAAAAATATAATATAATGAAATCACAGACTTACTTTGCTCTGCTTTAATCTTTAGCTCAGCTACAGCTGCTTTTCTCGCATCTCCAGCAGGAAACTTTTCCTCAAAAGTAGAACAGTTTCTTGTAAAATGTCTCTCAACGTTTGACTTTTTACGAGGCTGAAGTCGCTTCTCATTCTCCAGCTTCTTGTTCGAATTGTCCCGTTCCACCTTAAATGGTGCCTGAGGTGGCAGAATGTAACTGGTACACCATTTAAGGTGGAATGGGAAAATTCAAACAATAAGCTGGCGAATGAGAAGCTGACTTCAGCTTCACAACTGTTTAGTGTTTGTCAGTTTCTCACTGCAGATTAAACGTATCAGGAAACCAGCTGGAGTGATTAGAAATGCAAAATTTTATATTTAGCATAGTTTTAACTTTTATTCATGGTTTTAAATGATTATTTGAAGTTCAAGAAATCAAAAAAATACTTTAAAGGTTTTATGTGAATATGATGTCTTTAAAAATAACAGTTGATTTTTTTTAAAAACATTTATAGTATTTAAAGATCAAAAATCGTATAGTTACTCAGTTTCATACCAAATTTTTAGATAACGGATCCGGTTTTCTGTGTAACGCCCTGTATCGTTTCTTTCCATTGTTGCACAGTGTTGCAGTATAACCCCAAAGAAAATATATCCCCAAAGGACTCCTGCACATATATAATATTTGTTATCTGGTTTGTTCATGCAAAAAGTCAACTCACCACTGCTCTCCTAATGTGTGCCGTATAGGGTTAAAGTCACAGTAACAAACATAGCTTGTTTAAAGATAAAGATGAATAACGGTTGATTTTGGTGCTGACGTAAACGTCCTGAGTGGAAATTTGAAATGTATAACAGCGGTCTGTGGTATCAGTAAGAATAATGTGCTTATTATGGGCTATTCATGATTTTATGAAAGTGAAATGAGTCATTTTATATAAACACAGCAATGTTCTCCCTGACTCAAATTCACTCGAGCCAGATTTAGACAACACCGTGACAGTCGGAGTGCCTCCGTAATAAACACAAAGCATCTATTAGATCCAGTTATTTCTTTCTTTTTCATGCCTCCCTCAACACTGAGGTACGTGATTCTATTAAAAACATGCTCGTTTTTATGCACCTGCAGTTGTCAGTGTGACCATGGATACACCGGCGTCCACTGTGAGCTCCACATTGACCGCTGCCTGGGCCATCAGTGCTCAGAGCACGGCGTATGCCTGGGCCAGCGGCACAACTACACCTGCCGGTGCATGCTGGGATACGAGGGGGCGCTGTGTGAAACCGAAACCGACGAATGCAGGAGTTCACCATGTGCCAACGGCGCCACCTGCGTGGACTCTGTCGCCAATTACTGGTGTCTCTGCGCATCTGGCTTTGAAGGTGAGCTTTCTGCTTCTAGGAGTGGCCTCTGGGAGGCGCTGAGGTCCTAAATGAGAGGAGAGAGTAGTATAGGCTGCATTTACATTACAGGGTGAAAGTGAAACACGTTTTTTGGATAAACACATTTTTTCAGAGCTGTGTGAACACAAAAAATCTGAAATTTTTAAATCTGATTTTAACTACTTTAGCTATAGTCCTGCTGGGATTGGATTAGTTTAAAAATTCCCAGTGATAAAATTCTCACATCCAGACAGCAATAAACTTACCACCGAATAAAATTACCGCAAAATTGCGGAGAGAGTTTCTTGTCTTTGAAGAATTCTCATCATTTCTCGTACAACTTAAGTGTCCTGGAGGTTCAGATGAGTTGAATTATAAAAATATAACAGCACATGCTTTTCTATAGCTGAATGTCAGAGTGACTCTGCCATAACAAAGGAAAACACCTCGTTTCTCATTGTGTAAAGCACATAGGCGTGACTTTGGAAATGACTCATTTTGAGCATGTTTAGCAGTCTGTAGTTTCTCCAGCAGGGGGCGCTGTTAGCATACAAGCTGCCAGAAATCCACACCAGAAGGTGTCTCACGAATGCATGTTTGCAATAACAACTATTAAAATGACAAAGTATAATTCAAAAGATGTTGGGTTATTCTGTTTTGTTATTATATTGATTAGTATGGGATTTTTTATCAGTGATGTTCATTAAAACAGATATTTTATTGATTGTTTTTCTTATTATGCACAACAGACCAAACATAGTGAGGATTAGGATACAAAAAAAAATAGAACAGTAAACAAAACAGTGCAAGGGAAAGTGCAAAAAGGTCTAAGGGCTTTGTTCCAGGTACTCGCCTACTTTAATTAACTTACATTTAGATTTTTCTGCTTAACCTTTTCAACTCCTTGAGACCACCGGTGGTTCCAAAACGCACTTCGTCATATTCTTCATAACTTTCATATTTCATAAGCTACATTCTAAAGGTGGGGGTCGTATGAGAGCTGTAACTGTCTTCTGTCCAGTCAAATAGATGGGTGATGTCATTTTAAACCCTTATAATAAAAGAAGCTGAACTCACAATTTTTTTTTCTACTGAATGTCGACCCATTTTTCCACAAATCTGGACTATAAACTATAAATGGATGGCGTCTCTTCATTGATCTGCTCTGTAAACATTATTTATATAAAAAAATACAAAGAGTGTCTAAGATTTTTGGCTTTCAGCAGTAAATTGTAAGCATATAGCAACATGTGTAGATCATAAAACACATGTTCTGTTAATTTGAGGGGAGCTTTTACAAAAAATAAATAAAATAAAAATGTACATTTATTTCATGCAGTTACTGAATAATTTGCCTTATGATTTGGTCATGGAAATTCAGATGGACAAACCAAAATATACCCTGGAGAAAAAGAGGTTAAAAAGCAAACTAAAAATAGAAAGTTGGTCTAAGCTGCTTTAGACCACATGCATTTGTGGTCCTCTGGAGCTTGGATCTCTCTAACTAAATATCAACACAGTATTTAACTACAAAACATTATTTTTTTAATATCGCCCGGGTCAGATATTGCACTATTTTCTAGGTATTTTGATTTATTTGATTTTACATTCACTTTTCAGTGAATGTCTTTTGTCCATGTTCTGAAGTCCTGAATGATGTGGAAAGCCATATAAACTAGAACAACCCTGACTAATCACAGATGACTACTTCAGGGATTTCCTCCGCCACTCACAGTGCAGGAGCTCTAGATGCGCATAGAACACGCAATCATGCGAACTAGTCATTACATTTCACGTGTGATACACTAAGTGTGTAGTTCCATGTTCTATGACTGTCAGCGGCTGCTTAGGTTGAACCGGATGAGAGAGAAAGCGTAATTACGGAGATGACACATTATAACAACCCTAATTATGACAGCAGTGAGCTAATAAACATAATTATGACAGCAATAAGCTAATAAACAAATTATTGTTTTTCCAACAAATACAGGGGAAATGAAAGCATTGTGATTAGGTTTGTTTAAAGGGAATATGCAAATGCGCAGTTAATTTGTGCATCACTAATACAGAGGCCTTCAGTGTTGCATTTTGAGCCAGACGGAACAAATGTATGTTTGTTCTCTTCAGGGAGAGCGAAACGTGACGGATATGGATGCTAATGCGGACATAACGACCGTCTCTATAGTTAGCTTTTCCCTCTTCGCTGGTTGCAGTGAGAGGAAGCCTAATAAGCCCCTTGAAACATTCTGCCAGTGTAGTGCAGTGGTCACCAAGCAGCCTCCTGGAGATCCTTCCTTCAGAGGTTAGTTCCGCCCCTAATTGGCCTCACCTGCTCTCATCAGTCAGAGTTTTTTCAGAGGGTCTTTACCAGATGAATGAGGTGTTTTTGTGGAGCTTCTGAGTGTTTGGATTGGAACTGAAGCCAGAGAGATGGATCTGCAGGAGGACAGTTACTTCCCACTGGTATAGTAATTGTTACTTAGGTAGAAAAGGGACAGTTTAATGGACACTTAATTAAATCGTGATTTGTTTTTTTAGCTGCCAAAGTCTGTGGTCCAGGCAATCTCTGTAGTTGTGCATCAACAGAAAAACAATTAAGCATTTCCAGCTGCTAGCTACATCAGACGAGCGTGCTAACCAAGCATTTGATGTTTCTCGGACTATGTGCTGGGACTAAGAAGTGAATAAATTAGCTGAAGTTCAGATGTGAATTGATTTAAATCAAAATTCATAATCATATTTACAGTATTGCTCAAAATAACAACACATTTTTAGAATTATGTCAGAATTATTAGCTAGGAGGCTAGCTAACAGCAGACATGGGAACTTGAGTCAGTTACTTGCAACTTTGACTTAAGACTTGTGGAAAGAAAACAATAACAGGCCCGGAACCATAATCCAGTAACAGAACCATAATCCCTAATCCTGTTAATAAATACAACCTTTTGTTTCCAGCCCAGTGACTTTGCCTGTCTTGACCAGAGCAGCTTAGCTAGTTGACCAGCCCAGGGTATGTTTGAGTTTGATGATTTAGCTGGTCGACCAGCATGAAGAGCATGAGCAAACTGGAAGACCTGCATGACCAACTGAACCAAGCTGGAGGACCTGCATGACCAACTGAACCAAGCTGGAGGACCTGCATGACCAACTGAACCAAGCTGGAGGACCTACATGACCAACCGAACCAAACTAGAGGACCTGCATGACCAAGTCAGCCAAGCTGGGGGACATGTATGACCAACTCAGTCAAGTTGAGAGACCTGCATGACCAAGTCAGTTGAGCTGGAAGACCTGCATGACCAACTGAGCCAAGCTGGAAGACCTGCATGACCAACTGAACCAAGCTGGAAGACCTGCATGACCAACTCAACCAAGCTGGAAGACCTGCATGGCCAAGTTGGTCAAGCTGGCAGACCAGCTAAACCATCAAACTGAAATGAAAACATACCGTACACCGGTTAACCAGCTGATTGATGAACATATGGTATCTTTTGTCTTGTTCAGCTGGACGTCCAGCTCCTCAACCACCTAGACCATCTTGTAACAACAGCAGAACCTTTTTCAAAAAGGTTTTATACAGAACCCTACACAACACTTTCTCCACCAGTCTGGAGAACAATTTCACCATACAAAGAGCCATTTAAACATGCATGTGGTTCTTTGAGTACAGAACCATGATCTTGACTAAAGAACCCTTGAAGAGCCATCTTTTTTAAGAGTGTACTTAGCGTGCTTTATCTGTTTCTGGAAAATACATACTTGGAAAATAAGTAAGCATTTGTGCTGCACATCTAAAGAGTGTGCTTACAAAGCCGTCGCATTTCCTTGAACTGTGTTCTGGCAATAATAATTGATGTATTCTAAACCACAGTCAGTAATATTTCTCAAGATGATGACATTTAAGCTTTTATCGAAGGTGTTAAGTGACAGGCAGGTAACACGCAGCATTAAGCACGACAGCATACAGCAAAATCATACTACTTTGCTTTTGTTCACGTCTAGTTTGACCTTTTTTAATGGCTTTCAAGAGTTCTGTAGTTACACCATACAATTCCTTCTGACTGTTCCACCCCCAGGTCGGACCTGTTCGGAGAATACGAACGACTGCTGGTCGATGCCTTGCCTTAATGGAGGTTCATGCGTGGATCTAATCAATGACTACATTTGTATCTGTCCGCTCGGTAAGTACAGTCCACCGTGCTCTTCCACTAAACGTACATGTTTTTGAGCCGTACACACGGTCGTGCTTACATATGAGTAACGCCGCTGATTGATTGAGCTCGGAATGGGGGGTTTGCTTTTGAAAAATGACAGCGCCGGAGCGGGGCCTGCCTCTGCGTATAAGTAATCACTCCACCGCCTCCGTCTGAAAGAGCCCACTTATGAGGTTGCGCAGACATGTACACGCGGGGCTGTTTATATTTGTCCTTTTCTAAGAAACATGGGCTCCATCTCCCATCTGTGATGAAGATGTGATGTCACCTTACCTCAGGGGAAGAAAATACAGCAGCGCATCAGTGTAAATTTTCCACCCTTGGTTAAAAGGACCCCTCTTAAACCCGACGGTGAAAGAAAACAGGCGAGCCGTCCTGTCAGGTTTAGGTTCCCTGGCTGGTGCGAGTTCAGGGGCAGATGTGATTTAGGTGCGCTTGATCTCTTTGGCCTCGCAGAAATTCACTTAGGTAAGTGGGATGTGATTAGGTCTTGGTAGGGTTAACAAATGTACCAGGAAAGCTCTTCCTAAAGACCTAACTCTGGCCTTCTTCTCAGCCATAATGCCTCGTTTTTCACCTCGTCCTAGCAACACGGCCCTGTAGTCCATCAGGGTGGGGGAGTCGAGTTGGTTTCCCAGCGAAGATGAAGCTTTAGCTGCTGCGCTTGGATGACAGATGGCACCATATGCATTGTGTTTTTTGGAAATGGCCAAACGATGCGGCTTTTCCGAGAACTGCAACGTTTGGACTACATTTTAAAGGAAACGCATATGATAGCTTAACCATTTACTGCTGAGCCAACAAGTGGTCTTGCTTTTAATCTACTCTTTTCCTTTAACAACATGCTGTTGTCACACCTATTTTGATATGTACGCTCTCAGAAAACTGTGACTGTGACCATCAAGTCTTCAGTACCATTTAGTTAAGGAACATAATCATATTCCACAGATTGTATCACTTTTATGTCGCTGCTGTCGGAAGAAAACCTCATATGTCCATTTTTGTCATTTTTCAGTTTTTGACATAATATGAAAATGCCTGTTGTTCTTTACATTGTATGTAAATTTCATGATGAATGGACCAAAAGAAACGGCTTAAAATGACTGAAATTGTGAAAACGTCTGGTTCCATTGACTTGCATTAAAAGTAAAGCATGTTTTTCCCTTCTCCTGTAAAGTTACCATTTTGGAGATACAAGGTTTCGTTCCAACAGCAGCGATAAGTTGTATTGACTCCACACACCCTGTGCTTTTTATTTCCCTTAGCTTATGAAATGTACAAATATGCACCTTTGCCCTGGGAAAATTTACACAATTGGACCTCAAAACCACTGTTGTACAGGGAGATTCACTCAAAGTGAATTTTTATTATATAAAACACTATCAGCAATGTTGTCTTTAGTTTTAAATAGATGAAATGTAACCTAATCACAGCTGATGAGCTGCCAGTGGATGAGTTAGGCCAATGAGAAGCAACAAAACACTCATTTCCTGTTTGTGACATTACAGTTATGTGGTAGTCACTCAGCATTCAAGCGTCATGCTAGAAAAATTCTCTCTTCTGGTCTTCTTTTTCCACAAAACAGGCCTGGAAATTAATTTATAAAAACTGGCATACATCATGCTGCTAGCAAAAGCAAACTAAGCTAGAAAACAATCAGATTTTTGTTTGTCATGCTTATTTTAATACATGAAATTATACTGTTCACTGCAAACTAGTATATTGTCAAGTGAAATTATCTTAATTCTTGTTAAGATAATTTCTTATTTCTTATTTTGAGATGGTTGTGCACTTATTATAAGATTATCTATCTTATTCTAAGACATTTTTACCTGTTAAGAAATTTTATCAAGAAAAATGATCTCACTATACCGGCATATCATTTTGCTGGTTTCAAGTACATTTCTTAAAATAGGCAAAATGATTTGCCAATATAGTAAGATAATTTTACTTGAAATAAGTAAAATGTTTGGAAATAAGTTAAATAATCTTGAAATAAGCTTACAGCGATCTCACCAGGAGAAATATTAGGTTTATTGATTAGATTTAAGAGCATTTTACTTGACAAGATACTATTTTGTGCAGTGTTCAGGATACTTGGTCACTACAGCTGTCTCTTAAGGCCTGCATTCCCGTTGAAATGATTGGTCAGCCCAGAAAAAAGCGCTCCTGATGTAGGCTACCTGACCGCTTTAAGGTGACCTTTCTTTAGCTGTGCAGGACACATAAAACACAAGGTGCTCAGCAAACAAACACGGTGAGCAAAGTGCATTTCTTCTATCGGAAACCTATAGAAAACAACCCAAAAAAGACTCAGAGAGGGAGCGTCGTCCTCTGGTCGATGAAAACAAAAGCAGTAGTAGCAATGAGAATAATGACCAAAGAGGGTAAGAGAGGCTGATCATTAGACAGAAGCTTTCAGATTGACCAATAAAACACAATGACTGTTAGAAGCACAGTGTCTAGAACTGAATAGTTGAGAGCCAGTTAGGGTCACCAGCCCAAACACGAGAGGAAGCATCCTAAAATAAAGGCTTTAAAAAGTGCCCATAATATTGCAGGCAAAACGAATTGAAAATTAGGAATCATTTGGCGAAACCTGGATATGCATAATAGGATTTTAGGCTGTCGCTAAAGAATCAATTGAGATTTATGAATCATTTGGAAAAATCTCAGCATAATTAGATCCCAGGTCCACACTTTAACAATGTGTAATCAGTTTTTCAGTCGGGTATTCTCCCAACATCCATAATAGGATATCGTTCTGTAAATACCCAAGCTGTGCATAATCAACGCCAAAACCACAATTATAATATTTCATCATCCTCAGAGCCTGCATGGGACTTCATGGCCATCAGTGAATAATGACTGTTGCTTAAATATGCAAGCCTTACAGTTTTTTATACGTCTGACTCATGTGTTAACATTTAAAGCTGCAAAACGCATGAATTATTTAATGATATGACAGGTTGGCTTCTCTGAATATTCATGTTTATTTCATGCTCATCTGCAAGGTATGGTGTTTATGTATCTGCGTCCTGTCTGATCTGCAGTCGGGGCTTTTTTTGTGGATTATTTGACTTCAGACGGTTCTTGTTTCTCAGCTTCGGCCTGCTCCAGAAGGAAAACGCAGAATCGTGTCGCGGCGGTCCTCCAGCAGGAGAGTGCGCGTATACGGAACCGTGCGTCTAATTATTTTTCAAATGAGTTTCGTTGTAGTAGACGCCGTATCAAATGTAGCTTGAAACACATTCCTCTCCGAATGCTGCCTTGATAGATGACTTGCTGGCTGATGTTGCTTTACAGTCAGGTGGGACGGCGGAGTATCCACACTCCTAATTCTCCGGCTAACTGCGCCGTGTTTTTGTGCCTCCTCTATAATCATTGCGGTCAATTACACTTTCATATTGAGCACCTTGACAAAACGTTGTTAGAAAATACGGACTCACTCTGGCTTTATTGCCTTAATTTATCCACAAAAAGTGCATAGAGCTTTTTCAAATCAAATGCCCTGGACACGCTTAACGACTGCAGAAGCTTCGGGTTAAAGCGATAGTTCACTCAAACAGTGCTAACGAGGCTAACGAGGAATATGCTGCACTAGACCGGTTTAGTTAAGCCTGTTTACACTTTGCATTAACATGATTTCACTCGATCACTTGAAAAGCCGGATGTGAACGCCCCCAGGACTGTGAGCCGATTGCGATCAGATCACTCAAACCACATTCGGAGGGTCAGAGACAGAACTTGACCTCATTTAAAAGAATATGTTTTCATTGTCCGTGAACGCAAATGCATCTGCCGAATGTTGTCTAGCAGGTGAGGGGATAAACGACAAGAAATGGAGGATAAGTGAGGCTGATGGAAGAGTCCAAGTCAAGCTCGTCCACTCGTCGATGTGGTTTTTATGCAGGAAAAGTGCAGTCGGATCTCACCTGCTCAAACCGAGGACGGATTTCAGTAAATGGAATCCACAGACACCAATCAATGGTGTAAACAGGCTCTCGGTCCAATGTCCAGTGAGCCTGACCAAAAGAAATCAGTTTGGTGGACCTGTAAAACATCAACTCCTCATAAATCTGTTTATGTCGTTACTCATCTAAAGGTGTATTCTGAATGAACACCACTGTACTCTCTGTACAGTAGATGCAGACCCAGTTTTCCAGCAGCTCAAACCGCACTTCAGCATATACGAACATGAACCAGCATGGCTTTTGTAGCAGACCTGTGTTACAGCTTATCCAGTCTGATTTTAGTGACTTATCCGGAAGCAGCTCATAAGACAAAAGACTACCTACAGGGCTAAATATCTGGTCAGTAAGTTAGTATTCTGTTAATCTGTTTCAGTATTTTTGTCTGAGTAGCGAAACGACAACATAGATTGTTTAAAAAAAAAAGAAAAGCTGACGATAAACAGTGTATAAAAGTGAATAGACTGCGAGCTGTTCTCCATTTCAAGTTCCAGACTGATGTGATCCACTCAGAGTCTCGATAAGAGTTTGAACATGAAGCGCTGCTGCAAATTAACCTACACACAAAATTCAGTTCTGAGGACAAATAAACCCAAAGCTCAGCGTGAAAGATCCACTAGAGTGCTCATCCACTCCCTAACAGCACAAGAGCACTGCAGACCGATATTTTAGAGCTTTAAGACTTTTTTCTTTCAAGATTTCAGATTTTCTGACCAATTTGTTTTATGTAGCACCTTTCATACACTGCATCATTTGAAGTCTAAGTGTTGGTCCTGTCAGCTGGAGGTCACAAGTTTGATCGCTGGTGATGCTACAGCTGTCCGTGGCTGGGAGTCCAAGAGAGCACAGTTGTCCTCGCTCTCTCTGGGTGGGTAGAAAGGCCCCCTGTCTCCCCCATCACTCAGGGTGATGCTAGTCAGTGCAGGCGTCTGATAGGTGATGTGACAGAACTGGCGGTTCGTGTTCTCCTCCGAGCGCGTTCAGCTGTCCATTGAC